CCTCAGACTTGACACCTCTGGCTCCAACCTTCTCACCTCCCGCCCTGTCTGCTACCAAGGTGATAACTGTCAGGACATCCAGAGAAAATGCTAAGTCAGATGCAGACTTCCCACCAATTCTAGGCATAGGCAGACTGTACAAGCATGCTCCCACAAAAGGACACCACATTAAGACCAAAGTAAGTAAATGTTTCACCTAATTTCACAGAAAGAGAGAAAGTGAAGCAAAAGTGAGGAGACAGGCAAATTTGTCCCAATTAAAATAACAGGACAAAATCCATGAAATAACAACTAATGAAACAGAAATAAATGATTTACCAGATAAGGAGTTCAAAGCATTAGTAATAATAATGCTAACTGAATTAGGGGAAAGAATATATGATCACAATGAGAATTTTAACAAGGAATTAGAAAATATAAAAAAGAATCAATCAGAANCAACACGAGAAGTAGCCATTATTTTATAATAGCTTTAAGTGTAATATAACCTATAAAAATATTAAATCACTATGTTGTACACATGACCTGAATGTAATATCATAAATCAACTGTATTTCAATGAAAGAGAAAACAAATGATAGTTTATAGTTTATATTCTGGTAGGTAGGACAGACATTTTCTAAATGATTATACTAAATAGTATTATGATTGGGGAAGACTTTTTGCCTCTACCTGAAGTCAACATGTTAGGATGCAACAAGGTTCAACAGGGAAGCCGGGAGAGCTGCAGTCCATGGGGTCGCAAAGAGTCGGACACGACTGAGCAACTGAACTGAACTGAACTGAACTGACTGAAGCTTCAACTAGACAATTCTCTGATATAGTCAACCAAGACACACAAAGTCACACTTGAGGAAAGTGGCAAATGCATTACAAAAACAGATAATTATTTTGTAAATGAAGAAAATGAAAAAACAATTTAAATAACCCAGGAAAGTCCCTCATGGAGATCTGATTTGAGTCAAGAATTAGTAGGACAGAAAGGAGAGAGAAAAGAAGGGGTTAGGTGAGGGAAACATTAAGAGTAAATTAATGAAACAGGTGCATAAAGGAACAGCAGAGGGATAAACATGGCCAGTATCCTAAGGTGAGAAGTCAAGCTTCAGTTTAAGATGCAGAGATAATGTAGAGCATCTGGAATACTGAATTAAGGAAAATGGGTTTGTTTGAAAACTTAGACCATTTTCAAATTCTTGAGCAAGGAAGTATCATTTTTTTCATTCATGGGACAAAAATTTGATGCAAAGTACCACATACTATTCAAGGTGTAGGAAATATAGAAATGAAAGTAACAGAGAAATCACCTCCCTCTCAAGGTTATACACTAATGGTGGTTGGGGAAATGGGACTGACCAATTATTATATTGAAGGATGATTAGTGGAATGAAGTGGGGAAAAAATCAAAACAGGGTCAGGGTAAAAAAGATAAAGGCAGTTGGCGTAAATTGAAAAGAAAGGAGAATCATCACAGTAATTCATTTGTGGGATTACATAATGATATCAGAGTCTCCAATGAGATTTTTGTAAAACAGCAAAACAAATTCAACTCACAGAATGAAACTGAAGACCCTACCACATTTTTTAGTCTTTTCACAAAATCTAATCATATTCCATGAATTGTATTAATTCTCCCTGTCAAAAAAGAAAGGTCAAGTCAATATGACATTCTTTCTGCTCATTTCACATTTAGGTAGTAAATCAAAGAGAATTTTTAAATGAAGTCAGTTACATAATAATCAACAAGGTGATCAATGAATGATGTTAGGTTACTTCACTAAGTAACCTTACTGAAGATAATTTGCTTTAACCTCATTATCTCACAGGTCATTTTTATATGTTTATGGATTAAATCTCCCCACAGAAATACCCTGATGTTATTGCAGGAAATCCCTTAGGATTTGATGGAAAATTTTAACTTTCCATTGTTAGAAACATACTTAATGACTCTGACCTCTCTGTAGTCTCCCAGATTTTCATTTTTTAATCCCAAACGTTTTTGAGACCAAGGTTTATATTCTGAAATTCTAAGGCTTAACATCAAGAAGCAAAAATAAGGTGCTGGAAGACTTTACAGTGTAAGTTACATAAGGGAAGTATTCTTACTTATTTTTACTTTTAGTATTAGCAACCACTAATACATATTTATATGAATTATTACACATTTTTTCATTGTTGTTAGATTTCAACTACTCAGTGATCTTTATAGATCTTCTCAAAACTGAAGGTTATGGGAAACTTTTAATTTACTTGTATATCTACTTCAGAAAATCTTACATAATTTTTGTTGAAATAGAAAAATAATATATGAGTCAATTCAGATTAATGAAATGTGTAGGATATTTTGATCATATAAATATATGCATGCATATATAATATTATACATACATACACACACACACACACACATATATATATATATATAAAAGACACATAACATTGTGTTAATTTAAATCCCCTGGAGAAGGAAATGGCTACCCACTCCAGTATTCTTGCCTGGAGAATCCCATGGACAGAGGAGCCTGGCAGGCTACAGTCCATGGGTCACAAGAGTTGGACATGACTTAACGACTAAACAACCAACATACTGATTTGATAAAATGGTAAATGGAAATATGATTGCCATTTATTGAAGCAGTAGTTGACACTATCACATCACACAGTTGTCATTTAGTCTGTTAATAATTTTGATGATAATGATAAAATATTGTTGGTTTACATCTACTATACAATGAATTAGATTTCCAGGAATTATTTGTTGCAAGTCTGCACCCTTAAACAGGCTTCCTTTGGTGACTCAGTGATAAAGATTCTACCTGCCAATGCAAGAGATGTGAGTTCTATCCCTGAGTCTGGAAGATCCCTTGGAGAAGGAAATGGCAACCCACTCCAATATTCTTGCTGAGGAAATCACTTGGACAGAGCAGTCTGGCCGGCTACAGTCCACGGGTTGTAAAGAGTCAGACAGGATATAGCAACTAAACAACAGCTGCCCTTGAACACCATCTCTCCTATTCCCTCAACCCTTCTCCCCATGTATCCACAACCGCTTTTACAAACTTGGTTTTTTTTTTTTTAGATTCACATGTAAATTAAATCATATAGTATATGTCTTCTTCTGTCTGACTTATTGCACTTTGTATGATGTCTGCAGGGCCCATCCATACTGTCACAGAAGACAGGATATTCATCTTCTCAGGGCTAAACAATATTTGATTGTATAGAAATACCTCAGTTTCTTTACCCATTCACCTTTTACTGGGCACTAAAGTGTTTCCATATCTTGACTACTGTAAATAATGCTGTAATAAACATGGCAGTGCAAATATCCCTTTGATAGCCTGCTTTCATTTCCTGAGTATATAGCCAAAAGCAGAATTCTGTGATCATTTGGTAGTTCTATTTTTAAGTTTTTGAGAAACCACTATATTGTTATCTTTAGTGGCTGAACCAATTAACATTACCACCAACAGTGCACAAGATTTCCCATTTCTCCACATCCTTGCCAATGCTTGTATCTCTTGTTTTCTTGATGGTAGGCATTCTGACAGTGTGAGGTGATATCTCATTGTGCTTTTTATTTGCATTTCCTTAAGGATTAGTAATGTTGATCAATGTTTCATGTTCCTGTTGAACATTTAAATGTTTCTGGAAAAATTTCTTTTGAGTTACTATGCCCATTTAAAAAAATCCAGTTGTTTTATAATTTTGTTATTGAGTTGTATGAATTTCTTAATACACTTGAAATGTAAACCCTTACTTTTTACTGATAAGTTTGAATAATTTTCTCAGTTAAGCTCAAGATGCCTATAATTTAATAAGGGAATTCTCCATACACATATTTTCAAAAAAGCAATGTAAATTACACATAAGGCATTCTAAAACATGTTGTGTACATAAGCAAGCACAAGAGTAGAGAAAACGGAGATAAGTTTGGCCTGGGACATTTAGTTAAATGTCTATGAGATAACATTTTATATAAATTTGCTTTACAGAGAGGAGACAAAGATTCAGATATATGGGTAAAAATCAACAGGAATATGGCTCAGGCAGAGTCAATGTTTTTGGAAATGTGTATGACACTGGGGAAAGGAATGAAAAAAGTAAATGATAATCAATGGATAATTAATCCCTTAGCTTTCCAAAATTACTTTCTATAAAACTGAATAGTCCCCTCTTTAATCCTTAGTGATCTTCATGTAATTTCTAACATACAAATTTAACATATTTATTGTATGCTATTTTTAAATATTCACTCCTCTGAGAAAACATATGAAAACCTTTGCTCAAAAAACAAAACAAAACAAAACCTTTGCTCAAGAAAAAACATCTTTCTGACCTACTTCACTCTGTATAACAGGCTCTAGTACCATGTGTAAAGTAGATAGCTGGTAAAAAGTTGCTATACAATACTGGGAGTCCAGCCTGGCACTCTGTGATGACCTAAAAGGATGCACTACGGGGAGAGGAGGGAGGCTCAAGTGGGAGGTGATATAGTTATAATTACCGCTGATTTGCATTGTAGGGCAGAAGCAAATACAACATCATAAAGCAATTTTCCTCCAATTAAAAATTTTAAAAAGTGAAAACAAAAGAAAAAGACCTATATACAGGAAAATGAGTTTTGATTTATTTTTAATCTTTAATTTAAAAATTGACAATGAACTTATTTGAGAACACTGGGACAAATATGGATACCCTAGGTTTGTACACTAGCAAAAATTCATAAAGACAAATCTTTTCCACAGTAACCATCTTCCCTAAAATGATCGAAATAGTCTCACGAATCTTGAGTTTGAAGAGCTGAGGTCATAAAAGATGATATGTTAGTGAAACAAATGTCCCCCAGAAGTCTGTGTGCCTGTATCACAGAGACAGTGTTAGAAGCTTGAAGAAAAAGCTCCTCTCATTATCGTAAAAAAAAGACATGTTGGGAAAATTATACACACTCTAAATTAGAATCTTATATCTCCATAATTTCTATCTCAACAGACAACATAGAGATGACTGAGCACAACTTCTCCTTGACAACTGAATTTATTCTCATAGGATTTACAGACCTCCCACAGCTGAAGACCCCTCTTTTTCTGGTGTTCTTTACCATCTATCTGATCACCATGGTGGGGAATCTTGGCCTAGTGGCATTGATAGTTACAGAGCATCGTCTTCACACACCAATGTACATCTTTCTGGGTAACCTCGCACTGATGGATTCCTGTTGTTCTTGTGCCATTACCCCCAAGATGCTGCAGAACCTCTTTTCCAAAGACAGAATGATTTCCCTCTATGAATGCATAGTACAATTTTATTTTTTCTGCCTTGCTGAAACTGCAGAATGCTTTCTCCTGGCAGCAATGGCCTATGATCGCTTTGTGGCCATATGCAAACCACTGCAGTACCACATCATGATGTCAAAGAAACTCTGCATTCAGATGACCACGGGGGCCTACATAGCTGGAAACATTCATCCCGCTATTCATGTAGGGTTTCTGTTTAGGCTGACTTTCTGCAGGTCTCATCAAATCAACCACTTTTTTTGTGATGTGCTTCCATTTTACAGACTCTCTTGTGTGGACCCTTATATCAATCAACTGATGGTATTTATCTTTTCAGGGTCAATTCAAACCTTTACCATTACCACAGTAATAATCTCTTATCTTTTCATCCTTTTCACAATTTTCAAAATGAAATCTAACAAGACCAGAGGCAAAGCCTTATCTACTTGTGCATCCCATTTTCTCTCTGTCTCAATTTTCTATGGTTCTCTTCTCTTCATGTACATTAGACCAAGTTCAGTTAATGAAGAAGAAAAAGACATACCTGTTGCTATTTTTTATACTCTAGTTATTCCTTTATTAAACCCTTTTATTTATAGTCTAAGAAATAAAGAAGTAATAAAAGTCATGAAAAAAATTATGAAGATTTCATAA